TGTAACCCCGTATTTCTTGCTGCACAAATTATTTATCTGAATAATATGCACTGACTTCATTTTAAACTCACGTCATTTTCACGAGCTCAGTCCACTCAAACACGCAGGAGAAATTAGTTTGAACCCGAAAATATGACGCTCATGTGAGAATGAAACAGGAAAGCATTTATTATCGATAGCCTCACGTGTTTTTTTTTTAAATGTGTGGAGCTCTCCATGGTGCTTCCGTCTTCACACTGAGAAAACTCATTGGGGGAAAAAGTGAGTACATTTTTATTTAAATATGATAAATAAATAAATAAATAAATAAATAAATAAATAAGTATTCTGAATTCCACAGCATATAAAACAAAGAGGCAAAATGCGCTCCTTTAAATTTTTCTTTTTTAAAAAAAACCCTCAAAGACAGTGTACCTGATCATTGATATTATTTTTAACCCCTAAGGTTAATAATAAGTGCAAGTTCCCTTTAAGAAGGAAAAAAAAAACAAAACGAAATAAAAGGTGGGGTTTTTTTTCTTTTAACGTTTAACTTGTCGCAGAAAAATGTTAGAAAATATTGACCTCCTTGTTGAGATAATAACCGTGAAGTTCGCTAAAAATGTCTAACCATATTCAGCCATGCAGGCGAGTCAAGGTATCATGTCTTAAAGCGTGCTCTTTGCCTTTATATTTGTTTGTCTCACATTGCCAGCTTGCAGAGACAAACCCGCCGAAGTGGGTCACTAACCTTCATCCTGGGAGAAAAAATGCGTTTTTGCTCGGGGCGAGGGAAAGAGCTCCTCAGATTCACCGAGAAGGGCAAAAGTTGCGACTTTCTTTGAAGCCGGTGATTCTCTGTCACTTCGGCGCATATGCTTTGGGTAGCTAAATCCCAATTAGGGTCGGCTGACACGCTGCTCTATTCACGGGCGACCCTGCCTGCATACATTTGCCTAGGAATGAACTCCTCAAATAGATCTGCTGCTAAATGCGCCGGACAGCAGAGAAAATCGGCCTGAGTGACACTTTCTTTCTGAGGCGGTCGAGTGAGAAAAGGTATGAATTTATAAGGTACACCGAAACATATCAATTCACGGAACTTCACGCGCCTTTATCCGCGTCTTCTCACGCGAGACAAAGTGAGTTGAAGTCAGGGAAAAGTGGCCTTCCAAAAAAACAAAAAAAAACAACAAAACTTTGTTGAGACTTTGAATACCAAAACGCTGCAGCCCACTTTTGAGTAGGGATTTTTTTGAATGCAATCACGCATGAACAGCGCTGAATCGGATGCCATTTATTCGGCTCCTCTCTAATGCGATTTTGAATATTAGTCTGGGTTAAAATCCCAATCATGTCATCTGGTGGGAGTCCCATACAAGCACAATTACTATTCAAACGCGTCTCAAATGTCCCACCCGCATCAAGGCAGCTGGTCTGCCCACGGTGCAGCTTGCATCTTTCCCCAGGTTTCTCAGAGTGTGAAACACCTTATAGATGAACAGGGGAGGGTGTTTCTGCAAAAGCAAAGAAAAGCACGGAGAAGATGGACGGTCTGCTCTGAGAGCAGGCACGAATCTGAAAGGAATAATAATGATTGTTTTGCTGGGTGGGATTCGGAGGGGCCAGAGAGCCATACGCGCGAGGATTTCAGTTTTCTTTCTTTCGTCTTCTCCTTTTTTTTCTTGAATCAAAATTTAAGTGTGACCGACTGAATGCGAGAGGTGGGCTACACAAGATGTGCTGGCTTACACGCGGAGAAATAAATGGATTTAGAGGAAAACAAAGTCATTTCTAAAACGTGGGAATCTGTGAGAAATAGGCCACATTGCTAAGTGGGACAATGATTGGGCTCTCTCCCCCCTCCCTCCCCTGAATAGACCCAAAGAAAGTTTATGGGTCGACATAAAAAATGTGTTTTCTTCTGCACTCAGAGGGGTCTTCAATGGTTAGGCCATTGAAACCAGTCCAGGAGAGGTGGTGGTGAACCCTTGGCACCCCTGAAGTATAGTCAGGGCGCATGAATGGAGATCCCTGGTGGGGCATTGCTCTCCGTATTTACCGCGTTGCTTTGCAGACAGGTTGTTCCTCTATATTCATGGGTCATTAATGGCCAACCAGTTAAATCAGAGAGAGCCCCACCGTTTAGACAGTTTTAATCCAAAAAAGGCTGGCAAGAGGCAGGCAGAGAGGGCCATAAAAAAGAAGAAAAAACCCGACTCCCACCTCTTCCGAGCACCAATTCTTCTCAGGTCGTTATTTAAGTTTATTAAAGAGAAGAAGAGTTCATTAAAAAGAAAGAGCACTCGCAGAATCCGCAATAGTTTCTGAATAAAGATCCAACTATGTAATTAATGTTTTTCTTAAAAAAAAATAGAGAAAAAAAAAAGAATAGGAGGAGGCACAATAAGGCCGCTCCAGCCATTTAATTTCATTTAATTTTCCATCCCATTTGCCTCCAACACTGCCGTCACTCTGACACCGAGCCTTTTGACCACTCTTCAGGGCTTCAGAGCGCACAGCGGAGCGGGGATTCACCCCGGCGACTTTTTCCGCTAACAGAAAGGCAACGTCTTCCCCTCTTTTTTCTTCGTTTTCTTTCCTCCTTTCATTCACCCCACCTCCTCCTCAGAGAATAATTAATTTCACTGTGGAGAAGTGCGGGCCTTTAAAGCAAAGCAGGGGTGGATGGGAACCAGTCGCAAATGGCGAGGCGTTAATAAATAACTCCCCCGCACAGCCGGGCGCAAAAACATTGACGAGATTGTTCGCGTGTAGTTCAGGACTGTGGAGGAGCGCAGGGAGGTGGGGGCGAAGGGGGATAACAGTACCTGAAATAGTTTATTTTCATTTTGTGTGAAATAGTTTATTTTCATTTTGTGGAGAGATAACTGGCGGAAATGCACTAATGAAGTGCTTTTATTTCATTTTATTTTTTACATTTATTTATTTGTTTGTTTGTTTGTTTGTTTGTTTGTTTGTTTGTTTGTTTATTTTTATTTTTATTTTTATTTTTTTGGGGGGGGGGCACATGCGTCTTAAAACCCACATCATTTTCAGAAACCATATAAATAATCCACAGGAATCTTGCAGGTGGTTGCTGGATATTTAGGCCCC